TAGAGAGCTCCAGCTAGGCTGCTGCAAACCACCGAGATAAGCCCTCCACAGGTCTCCCCTGCACACTGGAGTCTCAGTCTGGCTGAACAAAAACTCTCTTATTCTCTCAGCATCACAGGTGTAAAAGTCAGCAACATTTCAAGGGAACGCTCTTGAACATGGCAAAGGTCTAAGTGCTTCTAAATTTCCTGTGCTTGGAATACAAAGAGAAGGAATAGAAGTGATGTTCTTTCAGCAACTGAGGTTGGCCAGGCATACGGTAGAGGGGGCCATGTTTCACTGCAGCCTTGCACCTCTCGCTGCAGGGAGACAGGACTCCTCTGATCAGCCCAGCACTGCCCCCCGCCCCCGGGGGTGGGGGCAGGTCAGGGAGGAGAGGAGAGCCAGTTATTACTGCTGCCTAAACCATAAAAACACCATCCCCTGGGTATGACTCCTATCCCCCTTGGCCTTTCCTGACCACACTGGCAGAGATGAAGCTTTCAGACTTCTGGAACCCAGAAAAATGTAATGTCACAAGCACTTTCTGGCCCCTGGCATGGAGGCTTGGGCAGGCCTCTGGGAAAGACTGTCCTCTGCTCTGTGAAGCCCTCAGGCCCAGTGCAAATAAGAAAGGCAGGGCCCACCCCCTCACTCTTGGGGGCAAATCTGAACACAATGTCAGACAGGGAAGTGAAGAGTCCTATTTCATAACAGAAAAATAAAGTATCTTTCAAGATAAACAAAAACCCAAACTACTAGTGTGTGTGTGTGTGTGTGTGTGTGTGTGTGTGTGTGTGTGTACGTATGTATATATATACATATAATTATATATGTGTGTAAGGTTTTTGAGTGAAAAAAGACTCCAAGGCAAAAGGTTCCGCAGAAGGAGTTTTATTGCCTGCACCCTCGGCCAAGGCGAGAGAATTTACGGGGACAGTTTTATTGTCTGCGTCCCCGGGCAAGGTTCCGCGACTCCAGAGAGAGGGGAGTCGGGGAAGTCGCGGCCTGGTTGGGTGGTGGTGGGAGTTTTATAGCCTGTTAGTGGGGGTTCAGATAACAGGGGCAGTCTCTTGACTGGAAAGTCCAGGGTTGGAAGGTTTAAATTTCTGTTTCCCGCCGATGTAGTAACGGCCACTGATATAGTGGCAGGAAGGTCAGCCATCTTAAGAAGGTCAGCCATCCTAAGAAGGTCTGCCATTCTGTGGTGTCTCTGCCCCACCACTCAGCCGGCCTAACAATATGTATATATAATCACTTAAAAAGGAGGGGACTGTTCTATCTTTGATCAAAGCTGTGTTGGGGCGCCTGGGCGGCTCAGTCAGTTAAGCGTCTGACTTCAGCTCAGGTCATGATCTCCTGGTTCGTGGGTTCAAGCCCCATGTTGGGCTCTGTGCTGACAGCTAGCTCAGAGCCTGGACCCTGTCTTCAGACAGGGTCTCTCTGACCCTCCCCTGCTCATGCTGTCTCTCTCTCTCCCAAAAATAAATAAAACATTAAAAAAAAAAAAAAAAGCTGTGTCTCCCAGTATCCCAGATGTGGGGGCTTTGGGGAGAGAAATGTTACCTTACTCTATGCAACTTTAGGCTAACTGGTGTCCCCAGAACTGTGGTTTGTTCTTTTGGAGCTCTGAGCCACAGTTTCCAACAACATGGTGCTGGGATGAAGAAGGGACTTGTGGCTGGCAGGTGGGTGGGCTGAAGATCTGGACTTGACTAACCCCTTTAGCTCTTCTTGACCCCACTGCGGGAGTCTGGGACATCTTATGGGGAGTGATGCAGAGGGCAAGGCTGGCCACTCTCTATAGAATGTGGAAGTGGGCCTTAAAACGAGGGGCAAGAAAAAACGTCCTCCCTGGGAGTTTGGTCTCAGAAACACAGCAAGACCTGGGCATGTCTAGGGCAGGATGGAATTAAGCCAGCCTAGCCACATGGGCCCCTGAGAGGGCTAAGGTCTGTGGATCCTACCAACAGCCACCTCCGAGACTAGTGAGAGGGGCTACTTACTTCTCTTTGATTACACCCAATTTTTGGAAAATTTCCTTCACTTTTGTCCCATGAGGGATTAAGGGGGACAACCCAAGCTGTCCTTCGGCCAGAGGATCAAATCGGGGTGAAGTTGGCAGAGGGAGCCAACGGCCAATGACAACCGTGCCCAACAGACAAGTGCCCTCTAGAAGGCAGCATTTTGGTGGCCTGACAAAGAGGTGGGTGGATGGGGGTTTGATCATCCTCATGAAATGACAGACAGCAAGGGGACCTCTTAGAAATAGCCAGGGAGCTTTCTGAGAGGGAATTTTCCAAAGACCAAGCTTCTAAAGATTTGGATAGTGTAAGTTGAATGTTTGTGCAGAAAACATTTTTTAAAGGGGAAAATACGAACCTTTTGTCTCTACATTTTCTCTCCCCTTTAAAAAAAAATATTTTTTAGCTTTAACTAGGCTCCACATCCAACACAGGGCTTGAACTCACAACCCTAGGTCAAGAGTCACACACTTTACCAACTGAGCCAGCCAGGGACCCCTTTCCCCTTCCTTAAAAGAACTAATACAAGGAGGCCACAGCCTTCCTATTGGCTAGAGCAAATATTGTATTCAAAGCCTAGCTCGGGTGCTGGAAGGGAAGAAAGAGTGAGCTTAGTAGGGGCTTGCTCACCACATTTCCCCTTCCAGCCTCGATTTCATCCCACAGTGCTGGGAAGTCCAGGCCTGACTCTATCGGGCAGACTGTCTGGAGCATTACTAGAGTTCTATATCCCTAGTTCTCTCTTTCTGGACACACAGGAGGACCACACCTCCTTGCCTGGGTAAAGTTAGGTGTGGCCATGTGACATTTTTTGTCCAATGAAAGGCGAGAAGCAACACATGTCACATTTGGGTAGAAGCATTTAAGAGTGATGTATGAGTCTCCCAAGCTTCCCATCTCTGTTGCAACAAACCCTAGAACTCGTATTTAGATAACAGTGTCCGAAAATGGCAGATCCTTCATCAGCTTGGGTCCCTAAGGGGCTACAAAGAACAGAGCCCCCCTCATGAGCCCATGTTGGATATGTGCATAAGAAATAACCCCCAGGAAACCACTGAAGTTTGGGAATCGTTTGTTACCGCAGCACGAAATGGTCCATCCAGATGGGGACACGTAGTTTTGCTCAGCAGAATCCACAGCACCTTCACATCTCTCAAGGTACTTTTAGCCAGTGATAGGTGGGAAACTTCATGAACTCAAAACCGGGCACTCCACTCCGTGTTCTCTCATGAAAGCTCATAATGGCCACAGTTCACTGGGAACTCGTTCCAGGCGACTCTGGATCTGTTTGGCAGTAAGTAACTCCCACGATCCCAGAATTCTACTGGGTTGGATAGTTCTATAAAAATCTGTCTCCCCGGAGGCTATTTCAGTGTTGATACTTGTTCAAAAACATTCAGCCAAACAAATGTTCATTAAAAAACTGGCCATCTAACCACCAGGCAGAATTGAAGCAGCATTTTGAAGCTGACTCTCAGGAACCTGCTCCAAATGAAAGGAAGGACATTCCTCCCCAGGCGGCATCTTGTTCCTCAGTAACACGGGCTGCACGTGTGCTGTAGACTTCCATGGTTACCCAAACGCAGAGGTCTGGTCTCCAGGATTCTCGTGATCCTTACTCAGTTACCATAGCCACGACACACGGTTTGAACAAACAACATTTCTGACCTCATCTGGTTCTCACATTTGAAAAGTAAGACATTTGGAGAACAAATTCACTTTAAAACATTAAAGTCAGTCGGAGGATTTAGAATTTTGAGTATTGTGATCAAATGAGCATAAGGAACCTTTTTTTTTCGACTCCTAGGAAAAGAGAGTGACTGCCTAGGAAATCATTTCGACAACTGTTGAAATTTCACTATAGAGTATATTTTAAATAATAGTATTCTATCAATGATAAAGTTCCTGACTAGGAAATGCGTACTATGGTATTTAGGGGTGAAGGGCTGTGATGTTTACAACTAACTCAAACTATATACAGCAAATACAGTAAAATGTTAACAACTGGGAAAGCTAGGTGAATGGCCAAAGTGTTTATTCTATTATTTTTGCAACTTTTCTGTCGGTTTGAGACTTTTCAAAATAAAAAGGTTTTAAAAATCATGCAGGCTCCAGATTAGTGACTTTCAAACTTTCTTAACAATAGCCCACAATAGGGAAAAAAACAACAGCCTACAAGAAAATAGAAGTTGTACGCAGCAATCGAGACGCAACATACATACATACATACACATATAATATGAATAAATGCATACAAACTGAATAAAGTTTCACAAAACAATACTTATTCCACGTGAGACTCTGTGTCTTTTCCGTTCTTTTCTACCTTGGTTTTTAAACGCTGCTTGTGACCCATTAAATTGAGTTGATTGACCACTACTGGTCACAACCTGTTTGAACACTCCTACCCTTGCAGGTCTTTCTGGAAGATTTCTAATACTTAGTATTACCTACAGACACAGAAGTACTATCACCATGAAGACCCACAGCTTGGCGCACCCTGCAGATTTCCGGCATGTTGACGAATGCAGCCATTACTTGTGCGTGGAGAACTGCTTGAGCAAGCATTTAGCAGATATACAAGGATTTGCCCTGGCACTCAGGCCTGGGGGCTCACACTTGGCCAACTCCCACCCTGGGAAATCTCTCAGGCCCCCTTCCCAGCTACTGGCTGCCTCCTTTCCTCCTGACCAGTAGTCAGCCCCAAAGTGTGCCGCCCATAATAATTTCCGCACCTAATGGGATCATCCAAGCTGAAGACTCCCTGCCCTGCTAACAGCATCTCTGTCCTTCCCACAAAACCTAAGAGGATTTTGCGGCCTTCCAGGAGAATCACAATGCATGTTTGCATATGAAAGACTCTAAAAAAAAAAAAAAAGTCCTGCGGTACAGAAATTTGTTTAACGCTTTTCTTTTTTTTAATCTTAGGATTTTACACATTTATTTGTACACAGAAACCCGCTCCCCCTCCCCTTTTTTTCCCCCTCCCCTGCCCTAAAGCTGCTTTGTGGCTAAGGCCACCCCTGGGAATAATTGTGGAGTAAGTGAAACGGGTCTTTGTTTTCAATGCCTCCTAACACATTCCAGACCCCAAGACCCATGGCCACCCCCCTTCGAGTCTAAAGTTCCTCTCACATCCCCCTTCTCTCCTCTCCTGTCCTTTCCATATTCCTGGATTGTAGTGGCCCATGCCCACCCCCACCCCCCGGGGGGGGGGGGACAACTGTGGTAGAAAACAAAGGGACTGGGCTTAATGGGCTGTCCTGCCAGAAAAACTAGCACAGTTCTTAGTATTTAGCCACTTGATTGACTCTAATTCAGGCACTGCAGTCTCCGTGTCCTGGGAGATGGGGGCAGGGGATGAGGGTGGAGCCCTGTAGACCTAGGAACTTCCAATTCCTCGTCTGTTCACTGGAGGGCCCATGTTCACTCTTGCTTCTCTTGTACAATTGATGCCCAGGTGACAGGAGCAGAAATCCATTCTTCTCCCCACCTCCACCCCATCCGGGCGCGGCACTGCCCAGGGCTCTCCTCTTCCTAGGGCCATCTCTGGAAGTTAACTGTCGCTTCCATCCTGGGTTGGAATTTTCACCACCTGCCCCATCCGGTTCCCCTCTCCCCCACCACAAACACCCTCAGGCCCAGTGAATTCAACTTTCCTCTGCTGGCCACGGCAATCTGAGCCACCCCAAGCGCAAGGTCACTCCGTGTGTAGGGCAAACACCACGCTGAGCAGGAGACCAGAGCCGAGGAGAAACCGGGTGCTGTGGCCCGAAACAACCACCCCACTGGAGAGAAGGCTGTCAGCCAGAGAGGTGTTGAGCGGACCCTCGGTGGTGTTGGCCACCTCCTCCACCGGGGCCCTCGGGGCCAGCAGCTTGGAGAGGAGGCTGCTGAACCTACTCACGGTGGTGGCCGCAGGCTCTGGGGACGGGCCCGGACTGGACGCGGTGAGGTTCAGCTCCTCGGGATCCACACAGAGGCCATCGTTAGAGCGCGCAAAGGCCACCTGGCTGAGGTCCACGCCGGCCACGGAGCCCGGGGAGGCGCACGGCACGTCGGCCACGCGCCCCGAGCTCTCCATCCAGTCCCGAAGCCACTCCAGGCGGCAGTCACAGCGCCACGGGTTGCGGAAGAGAAAGAGGCGGCCCAGGAAGAAGCCAGGCTGGAAGGCGGCCCAGGCCAGCACAGTGAGGTGGTTGCCATTGAGGTGCAGAGCGAGGAGGCCCGAGAGGTTCTGGAAGGCGCCCTCCTCCACGAAGGCGATGCTGTTGCGGTCCAGGTAGAGCAGCTCGAGCTCCGCCAGGTCGGCGAACCAGGCGCGCCCCACGAGGCCCAGAGCGTTGCCGCCCAGGTTGAGCGTGCGCAGGCGGTGCAGGCCTTGGAAGGCTTCGGCCGGCAGCTCGGCCAGCAGGTTGTCGTTGAGCAGCAGATGCTCCAGGGCGCCACAGTCGCGAAAGGCGCCCGCGTGCACGGCGCGGACGCGGTTGGCCTGCAGGCTGAGCGAGCGCAGGCGCCTCAGGCCCTGCAGCGAGCTGGAGGCCACCGCCTCGATGCGGCTGCGCTCCAGGTGCACATGCGTCAGGTTGGCCAGGCCGCGCAGCGCGCTGGGCACGCGGCGGAACAGGTTGTCGAAGGCGGCGAGCTCGCGCAGGGCGGGCAGCTCGGCCAGGAGGCGCTCAGGCACCGTGAAGAGGCGGCAGGAGGCCAGGTCGAGGCGGCGGAGGCGGCTGAGCGCGGCGAAGGTGCGCGCGTGCAGGTAGCGCAGCTCGCCGTTGTGCGCCAGGCGCAGCTCGGCCAGGCGCGGCAGGCCCTTGAAGGCGCCGGGCGTGATGAAGGATAGGTTGTTGTGGCGCAGCGACAGGCGGCGAAGCGACGGCAGCGTTCCGAAGGCCCGCTCGCCCAGGAAGCGCAGGCCGTTCCGGTCCAGGTCGATGGAGGCCGCCTCGCACGGAAACTCGGCGGGCACCCGCAGGAGGCCGGCGCGGTCACAGCGCACGGAGCAGCCGCGCTCGGTGCTGCTGCAGGCGCAGGCGGCCGGGCAGGTGCGCATGCACGCGTCCTCTGCCCAGGCGCTGGGCAGGCCGAGGACCACCGCTGGGAGGCGGGGAGCGGGGAGAGAAGATAGAAAAGGAACAGCTGTCAGCCCAGGGTCGCCCCAGGTAAAGTCCTACCTGTCCACGGTGTGGGGTTCGGCCCTCCACCAAGTTCTCATACGGCCTGCATAACCGCGCCCTGCCCACCCACGCCCCCCTACCCTTTGCTTTCCAGTTCTCTTTATCAGCAAAACCCAGCTGGGATTGCGGCATCCGACCCCATTCTCAACACTCTTCTGCCTGTAACGTCACTGGGTGCTCTCCTAGAGTTCAGCCTAGAGGGTTCATTGCATGCATGGGGGGTAGGGGGGGCGGGGCGGGGACCTGGAGGCCTTCACCAGGGCCTGTGCTGAAGCCCTGTGCTGCCCAATACCATAGTCACCAGCCACATATGGCTATGGAAGATTTGAAACGTGGCTTTCCTGAATTGAGACGTGCTGGAAGTGTAAGATACACACCAGGTCTCAAAGAGTTAGTACCAAAAAAAGAATGATAAATTGTTTCATCAATAATCGTTGTACACGTTGAAAAGATATTTTAGATATATTTGGTTCACTGATATATTAAGGTTAATGTTCTCCTTTTCTTCTTACAATTTTTAACGGGACCACTTAGAAAAGTTAAGGGGCACCTGAGTGGCCCACTTGGTTAAGCGACTGCCTTCGGCTCAGGTCATGATCTCAGGGTTTGTGAGTTTGAGCCCCACATGGGGCTCTCTGCTGTCAACGCAGAGCCTGCTTTGGATCCTCTATCCCCTCTCTCTCTTCTCTGCCCCTGCCCTGCTCGCTCTCTCTCTCTCTCTCTCCTCTCAAAAATAAACTTTAAAGAAAAAAGAAAATTTAAACATATGTGGCTTGTATTATATTTTTATTGGTGCTGCTCTAGTTCCTCCCACCATAAGAATTCAGTTCCTGAAAACAAAACCCCGTTGAGTAAATTAAGCCTCATGAAGAAGAGAGCATTAGGGAACAGGAGGTCGGGAAAGAAAGAGAAGCCTATCGATCTTTTTTTTTTTTTTCTTTTTAACAGTCACTAAATTTAAGCCCTAAGGACAGCATCCTAAATAAACTAACAATGACCATCTTACACATCTCAGAAAAATAATTGTGGACGCTGTGGAGTTAATTTTTATTCACCAGCCCTTGCCTCCTAGAGGCCTTTACACATTATCACAGGAAAGAATGGTGCTTATAAATCAATTTTGTTCTGAGCATTTGAATGGAGGATCAGATAAAGACTTCAGAAGCCCTCCAGTAGGCTTGCCACCTGCAGCAAAACAGAATGGAAGCCAGAGGTCCCAAGCCCCATCTGGAAGATGCACAAGTTTTACTTTCTGGCCAAGGGCAGCTCACAGGTGGAGTGTGCTCGATCTGAAATTCCTGCAGAGGAACAAAGGCACCCAGATGTAAACCTGACCACTGATATCCATAATCTCTACCCCTCCTCGGCAGTATTCCCAAATTGTTAGCATTCAGTCCCTCCCACTATGTACACATTACCCTGCCTTGCCAGTCCCAGCCCTTATAGGAACCTGACGGCATGGCCACACAAGGAGTGTGCAGAATTCTTGCTGCTGCCTCTGTGGTTTTGTTCAGCTTCCGGTGTCTTTTCAGTACATTTGTTGTGGACACTGGATGTTTTTACAGCTGCTAGGAAGGGGTTCAGCTCTGTCAGACTTGGTTGGAGAACACTCAGCCCTTGGAGCAACTCCTCTGTTGTCAACTGTAGCTAGTTCAACATTCTGAAGTTACAGAGGCTTGACTTAGCTTTTTCCCTCCCCCTAAGAACTGTGAACTAGACACCAAGCTTCCAGCAAGGTTCTTGGACCCTGTGCTGAGCTGGGCTGTAAACAGGGCGGCAGGTGGGCTAGAGAGACACCCTGTTAGAGAGACAGGGCCAAGAATATAATCTTAACGCCAGGCATCAGCTGGACAGGGGTGGGACCTTTTTCTATCACCTCTTCCAACTGGGTCAAGAAGAAGGCATCAGATTTCCTTACAAATAGTCCTTCATTCTGCTCTCTTCTCCTTTCTAATTAAGAGAAGTGCACTCTCAACTGTATGACTCATGTTTCTACTCCACAATAGCTAACATTGTTCCGGGCACAGTAAATGTTTGCAGAAATAAATGGAATTGATGCCTTCCTCTGTAATGATTCCTGCTGGAGGATATCATTTATTTATAAAACAAAACAAAGCAAAACAAACTTCTTTGTCAAGGAATTCCTAGGATTATGATAGGGATAAAATTAAAAGATGGAGCTGACAATTTTTTAAAAACACATGCAAGAGGGGTGGGAGGGAAGCTTCTTATGGTGTATCCTTTTTACCTCTTAAATGTTGAACCATGCGTTTGTATCCCCTGTTTCAGAAAATAGATTATAAGGTTTATTTTTAAGCTTTACACACTCAAGTTGTCGTCCCTATTAGAGACCTATTTTCAACCTCTGAAACTTTGATAGATCCTTAGGAATTACTAATTTACTAGATTATTTAGTGAAATTTAAATTAAGTCAAGTAAATTCTCAAAACAGACAAAAGCCAGTATTGGTTTACTCAATATAAAGACTAAGTGTATGAGTTCTGCTTGCAATAATGGGATAGCTTGTATCAGACTAACGTTTCTGCTGATAGCTAGTGTAAAGTGTGGGAAAATAAAGAAAAAAAATTTAAAGGCACTGGAGAACAACAACCTAAATAGCAACCAGAGCATATACAACCCTTAAGGAAACTAGGTGGGGTGCCTGGGCGGCTCAGTTAGTTAACCATCTGACTTCAGCTCAAGTTATAATGTTGTTCTTGGATTCAAGCCCCACATCGGGCTGTCTGCCGTCAGCACAGATCTGGCTTCAGATCATCTGACCCCCCTCTCTCTCTGAAAAATAAACATAAAATGAGAGAGAGAAGCAAACTAGGTAAAGACACATTTATCTGACTTTTCCTCTTATACCTGAAACGAATATAACATTGTATGTTAGCTATACTGGAATTTAAAAAAATAAATTTAAAAATTAAAAACAAAAAGAAAACTGCCTGTTCCTCTTAGGGAGGGCATTTGAAGTCCACGCTGCAGATAGGGAATAGAGCTCAAGCAGAAAGCAAGAGTCTTATCAGGCTGACAAGTTAGAAGTCAGAGTATACAACTGCCGCAGTGGCTGGAAATTGGGGAGGGAAAACATGGAAAAGAAGAAGCCACAAAATTGGCATACAGACTCCCCTTAGATCCCTGTTTGAGTCCTCAAGTGCATATATGTGGGGTGACTCCAAGGAACTACACGAAAACTTCAGCAATTTCCCAGTAATGGGAGACAGACTAAGAGTTCAAGGTCTACCAAGTTAGATGGCTTTTAAAACACCTCAGGCTTTCCAGTGAAACCCCAGAGGGCCACACCTTAGGAGTAAAGACCATTTCCCAGGACAAAGGGCAAAACTGAACTAGGAAGGCCCACCCTAACAAAGCCTAAAACTAAGCCTCCCCAATCAAGGTGATCTGCCAGTAAATTAACTGAATGCCACACAAAATTCAACACTCTTCCCTGAAGGAAGATAAGAGAATCTAGAATTTCTTATAACTACTATCTATGATATCTTATATATAGCCAAATAATACTAGATATTTGAAGAAGTAGCAAAATGTGACTCTTATCAAAAGGAAAAAATATAGTTAACAGAGGCAGACCCAGAGACTGCCCAGATGTTGGAATTACCAAACAAGGATTTATTATGAATATGTCAAGGAATTTATGGGAAAAGACAGATATAGCGGGTGAAGACATGGGGAATTTGAATTTTAGAAGAGATATGGAAACTCTAAAAATGAACCCAATGGGGGGTGCCTGGGTGGCTGTTGGTTAAGCATCTGACTCTTGATTTTGGCTCAGGACATCATCTCAGGGTTCATGAGATGGAGCCCCATGTGGGGCTTTGTGGGGCTCTGTGCTCACAGCATGCAGCCTGCTTGGGATTCTCTCTCTCTCCCTCTTTCTCTGCTACTCTTCTTTTCAGGGTCTCTCTCTCTTTTTCTCTCTCTCTCTAAAAAGAAATAAACATTTAATAAAAAATTTTAAAATGAACCAAATGGAAATCTTAGTACTGAAGTAATATTATAATTTTTTGAAAAATCATTGAATAAGAAAAATAGCAGATTAGAGATGGCAGAAGAAAACATTTCATGTACTTTCAGAGATGTCAGTAGAAATTACCCAAAATGGGGGTGCCTGAGTGGTTCAGTCAGTTAAGTGTCCAACTTCAGCCCAGGTCCTGATCTCACGGTTCACAAGTTCAAGCCTCCTGTCAGGATCTGTGCTGACAGCTCAGAGCCTGGAACCTACTCCAGTTTCTGTGTGTGTGTGTCTCTCTCTCTGCCCCTCCCCTGCTCGTGCTCTGTCTCACTCTCAAAAATAAAATAAAAACATTTAAAAAATTAAAAAAGAAATTACCCAAAATGAAACAAGAGGAAAAAAAGATTGGGAAAAATATGATTGGAACTTCAATGACCTGTGGGATATCAAGTAATTAGACTAACATGCATATATTGGGAGTTCCAGAGGAGAGAAGAGAGAGAATACAGAATACCACACACACACACTCCTAGGCACATCACAGTCAAACTACTGAAAACCAAAGATACAAAATTCTTTAAAGCATCCAAAGAAAAATGACATTATATAGACTACGTGACAATAAAAATAATGACAGTGGAGCCTGTTTCAGATTCTGTGTCTCCCTCTCTCTCTGCCCCTCCCCAGCTCGTGCTCTGTCTCTATCTCAAAAATAAATAAACATTAAAAATTAAAAAAAAAAACAACAGAGACCATAAGACAATAGAATTATATATTTTTTCATTTTTTTATTAAGTAAACTCTATGCCTAATGTGGGGCTTGAAATCATGACCCCAAGATCAAGAATTGCATGCTCTACCAACTGAGCCAGATAGGTACCCCTAGAATTATATCTTTTAAAGTGCTGGAGGGGCACCTGGGTGGCTCAGTTGGTTAAGCG